CCAATTATTTGTATCCTGATTCCATGGGACTATGCCACGGGAAACCGACCGCGCAGCCGCCGCAAAACCTGTCGGAGAACCCAATAATCTCCGGCGAAACAAACGACCCAACGCAAACTACCTCGACCGGAAAACCCACCAAATTCCCCTTTTACAGCCCTAGCCCACTCCCTAGCGCGTTCAAGAACTCGCCCGGCGTCCTCTCGACCCCTCTGCGCTTTCTGAAGCGCCCCTTCCCGCCGCCGTCGCCGGCGAAGCACATAAAGTCCTTGCTCGCGAGGAGACACGGCCCAGTCAGGCCCAGCGAGGCCACCATACCCGAATTGACCGAGTGCGAGATTATTGGGCTGGATAAAAATTTTGGGTTCTGTAAGAATTTCGTTGGGCATTATGAAATGGGGGAAGAAGTGGGCCGGGGGCATTTCGGGTACACTTGTTCGGCGAAAGGGAAGAAAGGGAGCTTGAGAGGGAAGGATGTGGCTGTTAAGGTTATCCCTAAATCAAAGGTTTGGTTCATAAAAATGGCCTAAAGTAGTAAAGTTCATTTTTTTTGGCTGGATTTACATAGTTGAGCTTGTGTGTGTGTGTTAAATTTGCAAGCTTGTAATGTTTGAAAGTTTTGTGCAGTTGATAACAGCAATTTCCATAGAGGATGTCAGAAGAGAAGTGAAGATACTGCGTGCCCTTACTGGACACAGAAACTTGGTGCAATTCTATGATGCTTATGAGGATGAAGATAATGTTTATATAGTTATGGAGTAAGTTTAAAACTTTCAGCTGTTGCAACATTATTTAGATGTCAGATGATATTTCCTTCTTGTCGATTGTACAAGATTTTGCTGATATTTATTAACCGGCCAAGTATATAAGTTTAATTGGTTTTAAAGTGGTGAATCTTATAAGTTATATCTATAATTTTATCCTCCGATTGCAGGTTATGCAAAGGAGGAGAACTACTGGATCGGATACTCTCCAAGTATGGTTAATGTTTTTGTGTTGTTTACTTAACTTCACTTCATTTATGCAACCTTTTTAACTAAAAAAAAAATTAAAAAAATCCCTTTTTCTTCCAATCAGAGGTGGAAAATATGCAGAAGAAGATGCTAGGATTATTATGGTGCAAATTTTAAGTGTGGTTGCATATTGCCATCTTCAAGGTGTGGTTCACCGTGATTTAAAACCTGAGGTAAGCTACTGAAAGTCCCATTTTTCCATTATGGCCACTTTAATTAATACCAGATGAAAGATGAAATTCCGACGATGAAGTTAAAATTAGTCTTATAAAGAAAGGATCAAAATCGGAACTTTCTTTGTATGACGAACTCAATCACATTATTAATCGAAAATTGATGTGAATTGATTTGAAGTGAACTGAAGGTTGAAGTGCCGAGCTTACTCATTTTCTGTATATGTACCTCATTTGAACTTAATGATGAAGTAAAATTGGTCCTTATAAAGAAAGGATCAAAATTGGAACTTTCTTTGTATGACGAACTCAATCGCATTAATTAATCGAAAATTGATGTGAATTGATTTGAAGTGAACTGAAGATTGAAGTGCTGAGCTTACACATTTTTGTTTATGTATCTCATTTAAACTTACCATGTTGACAGTATTCTTGTAATAATTCTCCTATTCACCTTCATATCTCAAATTTGGCTCAGAATTTTCTATTTACTTCGAAAGACGAGCATTCCCAGTTGAAGGCCATCGATTTTGGGCTGTCTGATTATGTAAAGCCAGGTTCAGTCTTACTACTACTAAAACAGTTTGTTTTTTTTTTAATGATCAAGCGGAATTGATGATTTAGATGTTTTATTTATTAACAGATGAAAGGCTGAACGATATTGTTGGAAGTGCTTATTACGTGGCACCAGAAGTTCTTCATAGGTCTTACGGGACAGAGGCCGACATGTGGAGTATTGGTGTAATTGCTTACATACTACTTTGTGGGAGCAGACCATTTTGGTCGAGAACAGAATCCGGAATCTTCCGGGATGTTCTAAAGGCCGAACCGAGCTTTGATGAAGCCCCTTGGCCATCTTTGTCTTTAGATGCTATAGATTTTGTGAAGAGATTGTTGAACAAGAATTACCGTAAAAGGCTAACTGCAGCACAAGCTCTATGTAAGTAGCTAAAACTATAAATTAATTGTTCGACTAGTGAGGAAATTTATGAAAAATTTGTTATATCGATAGGTCATCCATGGCTGGCTGGTCATCACGACGTGAAGATTCCTTTGGACATGTTAATGTGTAAGCTCGTGAAAGCTTATGTTTGTTCGACATCACTTAGGAAAGCGGCTTTAGGGGTATGTAATGTTTTGCTGTTTTTCGCGTCACTTCTTTTCGAGCTTCTTCTATGCAAATACTTGGGAGAATAGTTTCATTTGTCCATTTTTGGTCGGTAAAATTGCATATAAAGGCACCACCTTTTTAAGGCTTTTGTAATTTAAGCACCATCTTTTGCTATTTACGCTTAAATCACCACCTTTTTTTATATGTTTTGCACATCGCAGCATAAATTTAACTTCTGCTGACTTGGTACAGACGGAAAATCTAAAGGAAGTTAAATTTATGCTTCGATCTGCAAAACATATGAAAGGTGGTGATTTAAACACAAATAGCAAAAAGGTGATGATTAAATTGCAAAAAACACCTTAAAGGTGGTGCTTTTATACACAAGTTTTTTTTTTTTAATTTTTTTTGATTTTTTTTTTATTTTTTTAAATACTAATTACATTATTTTGTTCTCATGTTTTTTTTTTTCGTCCCGTGTCTTAATTTACCATATCAATGCCTGCAGGCAATGTCGAAGAACTCAACCGATGCTATGAAGGATTCGTGGGTTTTGGATTATGTCAATGTGGTAACTTTTAGTTTTACTATTATTATTATTATTATTATTATTATTATTATTTCGAACCGGATGAATGAATAGATGAAAGCATGTAACTTTTGATAATTGTTGTTTTAGGTGAGTTCTCTTCAGTACAAGAAACTGAATTTCAAAGAATTCTGTGGGGCTGCGATAAGCGTTTATCAGCTCGAAGGAATGGTTTGCTGGGAACAACTCGCAAAAAGTGCATACGATTTTTTCGACAAGGATGAGAATCGAGCCATCAAGATCGAGGAACTTGCCTCTGTATATACTCTCTCTCGACTTTTTTTTTTTTTGAGAAATTTGATCTGTTTTCATAATTTTTCTTTTCGTTTTTTTGGACAGGAACTGGGGTTGAGTCCATCTGTTCCGGTTCATGTGGTTCTTCAGGATTGGATAAGGCATTCGGACGGTAAACTCAGCTTCTTGGGGTTCGTTCGACTTCTCCATGGCTTTTCGTCCCGATCGATTCAAAAGTTGTCTTAATTAGTAGTAAAATTCTTTTCTTGAAATATATATTTATATTTATATATATATGAGTGTTTGTGAGATGTTAAGAGGATCTGTATAGGATGAAAGTTAGATTAGGAAAAATGTGTATTGTTAGAGCTTTAACAGTAGGAAAAGAATGGCTGTTACTGTGATATGAAGTGCTTTGTTCTTCTCTTGCTCTGCCATTTTTTCCTTCTCTCTTTCCTTTTCTTACAACAACAACAACAACATAGCCTTTAGTCCCAAGCAAGTCGGGGTAGGCTAGAGATGAAAACCCAAGAGAAACAATGGTAAGAAAACACAAAAAAGGCTCGAAACAAAAGGAAGAGATTGAAACAAAAAGGGAAAAGAGCAAAAGTCACGGTTCTGCCACGTTGATTACTAGCCTCCAGGCGCTCCTATCCACCGCTAAATCCTTGGAGATATTCCAATCTTTAAGGCCTCTCTTAACCGACTCTTCCCAAGTGAGTTTAGGCCGACCTCTACCTCTCTTTACATTCTCGACCCGCTGTAGAACTCCCCTACACACCGGTGCATCAGGAGACCTCCATTGGACATGTCCGAACCACCTCAGCCGATGTTGAATTAATTTCTCCTCAATTAGAGCCACCCCGACCCTATCTCGAATATCTTCATTCCGGATTCTATCCCTTCTTGTGTGCCCGCAGAACCAACGCAACATACGCATCTCTGCTACACTTAGTTGTTGGCCATGTTGTCTTTTTGTAGGCCAACATTCAGCACCGTATAGCATCGCTGGGCGAATCGCCGTCCTATAGAACTTACCTTTTAGCCTTTGTGGCACCCTCTTATCACAGAGAACGCCCGACGCTTGACGCCATTTCAATCAACCGGCTGCAATTCAATGCCTAACATCAGCATCAATGCCGCCATTCTTTTGTAGCATCGATTCTAAATACCGGAACGTCTCCTTCTTGGCCACCACTTGCCCGTCAAGGCTAACGTCACCATCATCATGTGAAGCCATGCTGAAAGAGCACGTCATGTACTCGGTCTTCGTCCTACTAAGTCTGAAGTCTTTCGACTCTAACGTCATGTACTCGGTTTCTTTCCTTTTCTTCTTTATAAGAAATTGTAATGTTTGTAATAAATTGGATTTTTATTTTGTTTTGATTTTTTTGGTAATATTTTTCTATCATATTCCAGATTGATCACTATTTACTAGTACATTTGAGCATTTTCTAAACTAATATAAATAATTTAATAATTTAAAAGGGCTTTGTTTAAAATAATTTACACATTATCATTTTGACATTTTTCATTTCAGGAGCTCACTGAACCCAAAACAATTAACTTTGCTACTGGATATAAAATACTCCCTCCATTTTGAAATATAAGGCATTTAAGGTTATTGCACAAATATTAAGGAGAAATTAATTAATGAATAAATTGACTAAATTAACCTTATTTACTCTAATCACAACCATTCCACACTTCCTTAATTTCAACACAATGAGGGTATATTTGGAAAAAAATGCAAAAATTTGTCTTGATTTTTTAGCGCGCCTTATATTTCAAAAAAATTGAGAAATCTTTAGGAGGTGATTGGATATGAATTCAACTAGTAAAAAATTGGTTATTTTTTAACTATAGTTGAGTTTAAAAAAAAGTAGTATGGTTAGTTGTTAGTGGATATATTAAAATAATATTTAAATTAAAATAATTAAAGTTGATTTGATGGAAAAGTAGGAGAAAATGATTGGAAGTGATGGTTAGTTAAAATTATGTGAGTGGATGAATAGTGAAATAAAATTGATGTGATGTGTAATAATGATTGGTTGATATTATTTAATTATATTGATAATATTGGAGATAGTGAAATTGAGTTAAAGTAGAGTTAAATTTGAGTTTTGATTGGGATATTTACTGTACAATTCATATACAATCACATCCTTATACGCCTTATATTTCAAAATGGAGGGAGTATTAAAATATAACACATTTTCGTCTCGTTTGATAAATTTCTTTTACTAATTTTGTAAATAGACATGAATTTTATTTAAAAAATTTATTATTTATCTATTGTTACCTTTTTTTTTTCTCCTCAATCTTACCAACACAATTTAAAATATAATTCAAACATTATACTTCCCAACAAAATTAACTATTTATTCCTACACATACTTTTAGGTTTTAATAATTACAAAATATCATAATTTACTATTTATTCCTACACATACTTTTAGGTTTTAATAATTACAAAATATCATAATTTTTCTATTTCAAAATTGCATCATTTTCGGTAATTGTATCTTCTTCAAATCAATTCACAGATTTAAAACTATTTTTTTCACCCAATTTTATTCCCTACTTTTTTCATTATTTTTAGTTTTTTACTACTTAAGAAATCAATCCGATCTGATCAGAAAGAAAGTTCAAATTATTACACATAATGACAAAAATAAATATAAATAAAAAAAGGCAAAATCAAATGAAGAATTTCTCCAATTTCTTCAGCTTGAATCCAACTGACTGAACATCAACAGCAAACCCAAAATCTCAATGGCGATCCCAAAACCCCATCCGAAGTCAAAATCAGCAAAGCCCAGATCTTCATTCCTCATCCTCACAGCGTCTATCGCATGCATCGCCGTGTTGTACCTTGCTTCATCGTTACTTTCCACGCCATGGTTCTCTTTCTCCACCTCGAGTAACTTACAGAACTTGCTGAACAGGCCCATGAACCGTCACACTCTGCAAGAGAAGTACTTATATTGGGGTAGCAAAATCGATTGCCCTGGAAAACACTGCGATTCGTGTGAGGGTTTGGGGCACCAAGAATCTAGCCTTAGGTGTGCCCTTGAAGAGGCGTTGTTTCTTGGGAGGTTTGTTTAAGAATAATGTGACAATTTAGTAGGTTTATTTAGAGAATTTTTCTTTGTGTGTGTGTGTGTGCGTTGTCTTTGTCATGGTCGAGTGGTTCCGTTTGTTTCTTTAAATTTTGGCTTTTTTGTGGACCTTAGGTCAGGAAGTTATTCTTCTTCTTGAAACATTGTTGAGAGAGTGGTGTTATTTTAACAAACTGTGACAGGTTTCTGGTTCGGGGAGTTTTTTCTGGACATAGTTAACTGGTTGTAAATGGTTTTTGGTGAAAAACAGTTCTTTGTGAATGTGAAACATTCGATTGCAGATTTTCTGTTTTCTGTTTTTAGCTTTCACGATGTTATGTTTTTGAAAGTTGAGATGTGCAGAAATGCTTGTAGAAAAGGGAAAAGAAGTTTACACTTTGGCAGCATAGTAGTCATTTGTACATTAATCCTACATTCTGATTGATTGCAGGACATTTGTAATGCCTTCTAGGATGTGTATTAATCCCATACACAATAAAAAGGGGATTCTTCATCAGTCAGGTGATGTAGTTTCTGAGGAAGGGTAAGTTTGGTTCTGTAGCTCATAAATTCAGAAACTATACGCAATTGTGTACTTTAGCGAAGCTCGTAAAACTTGTAAAAAGAAGCATTGGTTATGCTTTTACTATGAGTTACCACACTATTTTCTTCAAACTCTTGGATACAACTTAGGAGAAAAAAGTTAAATAAAATTATGCTGTTCCATAATTTTTTTTTTTTTTTTTNTTTTTGGCTAGGTGGATTTCTAACTCGTGTGCAATGGAATCTTTGTACGATCTGGATCTTATATCCGTAACTGTACCCGTAATTTTGGATAATTCGAAAATTTGGCATCGTGTCCTTTCGACAAGCATGAAATTGGGATCCAGAGGAATTGCACACGCGCAAGGAGTTAGTCGAGCTGATCTCAAAGAAAATGCTTTATATTCAAATCTTCTACTCATAAATCGAACTGCAAGTCCTCTGTCGTGGTTGGTATCTTAATATGTTACTTTCTTATTTCATGAGGATGTACAGTTACTAGTCTATCTGAATTTACATTTATGGAAGTTTTTTTCGATAAAATTCAACCTAATTTATTCTGCTATGCCGTAAGAAGATTAGCATGCTGAATTACTCGCTTGAATAAGTTTTTTTGAATCTTTATAGCTTTTGTGTAGGTATTAATAATCATGGTAGTCATTCAGGTTCATGGAGTGCAAAGATAGGAACAATCGCAGTTCTATTATGTTGCCTTATTCTTTTCTTCCTTCGATGGCTGCAAAAAAGTTTCGAGATGCTGCAGAACAGGTAACTATTGTCTGCCTTTCGATTAATTTTGTCAGTTTTCTCCTTCAATTAGGTATTCCAATTTATAATTTGACTATATATAATTTTCTTCAGCTTTTCCATATTGTATGTGTAATTTATTTATTTTTCCCCGAAAAGCAAGAAAGATAACAATGAAGCTCAATGCTATTGAGTTGAATTAACAATAAAAAAAAAAAATTGGCAATTAATGTGTGGCATAAACCTGAGAAGATTAACATTTAAAAAATAAAACGACAGTATTACTTTGTTTGAAATGAATATTTGCTGGGAACTTATTATGGTCCACTTATTTTGTTTATTATTCAAGTGCTTCTTGCTCTCATATTTTACTCGAACGTAATTTATGATATAATGAAAATAGATTAAGGCTCTTCTTGGAGATTATGATGCTATTCACGTTCGCCGAGGAGATAAACTGAAAACGAGAAAAGACAGATTCGGTGTAGAGAGGACTTTACATCCTCACCTTGATAGAGACACACGTCCCGAATTTATTCTTTGTCGAATATCCAAGTGGGTCCCACATGGACGAACCCTTTTTATAGCATCAAACGAGAGAACGCCAGGTTTCTTTTCGCCTTTGGCTGTGAGGTACTTCTATATTATTTATTTATTTATTTGTAATTGAACTTTTGCGCACATTCGTGTAGCTTTTTCATTTTCCAGAAAAGAAAAAGAACATTAATACACAGCAGAAAAGAATAATAAATATCAAGAATCAAATTCTGAATGTGTCTTATTTCGATAGTTTCCACTGGCAAAAGATGCGGTTTTGCAAATGCTTAAAAAAATCGGCCTTTTTGGCTACTTTTTTGTCTAATTTGCAGATATAAATTGGCGAGCTCGGCAAACTACAGCAGCATTTTAGAACCATTAATCGAGAACAATTACCATTTGTTCATGGTGGAGAGGCTCATTATGATGGGAGCTAAAACATTTATTCGGACGTATAAAGAAGACGATAAAGATCTAAGCCTAACGAACGACCCCAAAAAGAACACCAAGATTTGGAAAATACCCGTTTACACGAAGGATGGAACCGAATGCTGATCACTCATAGCATGCCACTTGGCGAAGTAGGATTGGCTGTCGGCATACGATTGTGAGGAAAGAAAACTGTACGCCTCGATTACATCAAAGAAAACCGGAACCAATCATCTGACGCGTGTAAAAGCCCGAGTGAAATCTAAACTGGAAAAAAATAGTTTTGCTGAGGAAGAAGAGTAAAGAAAGTATCTTTAGGTCTTTAAGAGATGCGCTTACACAGTTCAGTTATTTTTTCCTCCTTTTTTATTTTTTATTTTTTAATTTTGTTAATATTTCCCTGGACAGTGGGAAAAACTTTTATATTAATGTTGAATTATAACCTCTTTTTTGTGTTCTTGTTAATATAAATCGTTTTCTTAACATGTTGGCTCAATATGCAATAATTAAAGAATAATTAAGGTAGTTAATTATTCTTGTTGTGGAAAATGCCATCAAGCATACAATATATTTTATCAGCGTATGCTGTAATAATTTTAATGTGTTGCTAATCGAATTTGTGCTGTCAAGTCTCAAAAGTCGAATATATTCTTATGCAAAGAATAGTAACAATATTGTGTTGGTCCCTATTTCTACAAATATTTAAATATTTTAATAAGTGCTAAATTCAAAATACTGAAATTTTATTGGCAAATAAACCTATGCCTCACAAGTCACAACTCAAAATGATCGATTATTAATCATTCAATCCATATTCTAAAGTCCTAAATAAATGAAGGCAATAAATTGAAAGAAAATAAATAGAAATAAATGGACCAAAGCGTGTGTTTAAGATTCCGCCACACGTGCGACTCTCTTATAAAAGCGCGAAAACACTCCACTTTAGAGTAAAAAACTCAAAAAGAGAAAAATAAAGAAATAAAGTATATCCTCTTGCGTCACTCCGCAGATATTCCGACGCCAGCTCGCCGGTATATTCCCTTTTCCGGCATCAGGTACTATCCCAGAAGCTGTTTCTAATTCATCGGTCTACAAAGGTTCAACTTTCTTCGGAATCTCTTTTCTTTTCTGCTGAAATCTGTAATTTGAGTTTGAACAAGCGGATTGGTTTGGTCGGAAAACGTTTCTGGTTATGGCGGCTTGAAATGGTATCTCATTTTTGTCTCAGATAGAAGTGGTTTGAGGAATAAATGATAAAAATATGAGTTTAAGTACCTTATGTATAGTGGGCCGCTGTGAAATTGATTTATGTGTGAGTGCGTGCGTGTGTGTGTGTGTCGTTCTAGCTTCTTTTCTTTTTTTCCTTCCTTATCGTTAATCAATCGCTAAATAACACTGGAAAGCTTCAATTTTTTTCTGTATACATAAGATTGAATTTGCTTTTTATTGTGTTCTGTGGTGAATATAAAGAAGAATAGTGTGAGGTGGAGTCATTCGTTGATGAGTTGAATTGTGTAATTTCCTGTCAAGATTATAACATTGAGCACACTTAAACATTTTTGTGTTAGCCAAATTTTGTTCACTTCATTTTACTTCTAGCAGAAAGAGTGCTATTACAAGTTCCTATATTGCCTGTGCTGAAAATGCCGTACCTTGTACGCGAGCATTTGTTCATCGGAAACATTGGAGATTCTGCACAGATTCTCCACAATGGAAGTGATGACATCACGCATATCCTCTCTGTCCTCAGCTCAGCTTCGATTTCTTTCTTCTTCGAGTGGCGAAATGGACTTTCAATCCCCACCAAAGAAATCCGGAAGGTTTATGTTAGGGACTCTAAATCTGAGAGCCCACTTTCAGCGGATAAGCTTCTCTTCTCACTGGAATATGCTGGTAAGGATTTGAAGTTTGTGAGAATGGCGGTACCTTTGAGGGACATGGAGAGTGAGGACTTGCTCGATTATTTGGATATTTGTCTCGAATTTATCGAAAATAGTAGGAAAGAGGGTTCAGTTTTGGTTCACTGCTTTGCGGGTGTATCAAGAAGGTATAGATCATTACATTGATCTGCATCAGTTAGGAAGGTATAAAGAATATTAATATTTAGTATCGCTGATGCTGCTGAAAATCTTGCCAGTTATCTTCTTATTACTGTTTGTTAGAGTAGTGATTTGTTTGTTCGAAAAATGCTTACTTGTTATTTGTACGATAATATTCAGCGAAAGCATAAGTTGTAATTGGTTTTGTTCTCTGTTCTGTCAAGCCCTTAAAGGGTTTTACACCCTTCTTTGCCTGTGTTCGTTGCAGTGCAGCAATTGTTACAGCTTACCTGATGAAAAGTGAACGACTATCTGTAGACGGTAAAGAATTGCACATATCAATGAATTATATATTATTCTCTGATCTTGAGTGTGTCTTTTATTTTCATTTACGTATATTGGTCATTAGATGCTATTGAGTCTTTGAGGCAGAGCTGTGACTCTGTGTGCCCTAATGAAGGTTTTCTGGAGCAGGTGACTTAAATCGGGACTTATTCATTTCTTGTGTATGATAAACGATTATTAACTTTCAGTTACTGATAATTTCGGCTTGGAATTTTTGTTGCAGTTGAAAATGTTTGAAGAAATGGGTTTTAAGGTGGATTATGAGAGTCCCATATACAAGCGCTTCCGCTTAAAAGTATTAGGTCCGAATCTTTTTTCTTGAACAATTGACAAATATAGCTTGAAAACTGCCCTTTTTTTACCAATTACATTGTTCTATGCATGAAAAAACCTCAAAATTTACAGGTGATTTATTTAACCGTGGAGAGAAAATAGATATTTCCAAGTTCGGGCCTGACCCGGGCTCCCATGCTGAAAAACTTTCTTCTGATGCTGAAAAAATAGTCGATAATAAAGAAGCACTGCCCAAGCTTAATAATGCTTACCGTTGCAAGAAATGCCGAAGGCTAGTTGCCTTGAAAGAAAATGTCGTCGAACATGTTCCGGGAGAAGGAGATATGAGCTTCGAGTGGCGTAAAAGGAGTGGAACTTTTAGCAGATCTGAGGATGATGAGTGCTCATCCATTTTTGTCGAGCCTCTTCGCTGGATGAAAGCTGGTATGATTTTTTTTTTAGATTAAAGTAGAAAAAAATTGTGGTTGTTTTTTTTTTTTTTGGATTGTGTTGAGGTCAAGGTAAAGAGAGTTTAGCTTGGGTTCTTCGAATATAGACTTCTAAGAACAGATAATTGTAAACTTTCTAAGAATAGTCTTTAAAACCTTCACAAGTTTGCACAATTTTTCATAACGAATACCACGATGAACCTTTCACGCTTGAAGTTCTAATTTTAAACACAGTTTAGATGTTTTTAGTTCCCAACTGCTTTTAAGCTATATACAGTTGAAGAAGGTGGTATGGAGGGAAAGCTGTTGTGCAGTCACTGTGAAGCTCGTTTGGGTTACTTCAACTGGTCCGGTATTCAGTGCAGTTGCGGGAGTTGGATTTCTCCTGCTTTCCAGCTTCACAAAAGCCGAGTCGACATCAGCATTGTCTAGAAGCTTCTTCTGGTTTTTTACCTTTTTTTCTCGCAAAGTATAATCAAAGATTATGTAACTCAGATCACATTGTACAAGACTGTCTGTTCCGCCTTTCTGGAATTTTCATGCTCAAAGTTGGTAAAATCTGTTGGGAATTTTGAGCTTTTTAAGTGGCTTGTTTTTATTTTGGGGGATATAATATAATGTGTTCTTTTTTTCTTCTTTCAAGCTTTGGTTATTTTTTCATTCCATCTTGTGCAGTGAAGTGAAGGATGTATGAATATGAAAAAATAATTTTTACT